TTCGCAAATGTCATGACTTTTGTTCACTCATATGTTTAAATGAGGTGAATACAAAAAAATCCATCAGTCTGTCTTGAAATGAGTCTTTATTGTGCCATGTGAGCAAACACTTGCAAGTAATCAAATCTATCATCATGTAGATGCACAAATAGACCTTGAACAACCAATGAAGAGAAAGGGTTAGTTGGTCATTTCCAATCTATAATGGATAATCCCCCTTCTGCACTTTTGTCCCTGCTGGACAGTTAAAAATTACTCACTGACTTCTACAATATCATCTGTACACACTGAGAACCATTGCGATGTAAGGGTTAAAGTGTTGAAAGTGGATGGGGAAGATGCAAATTCTGGTCCACCCTCAACAACAGAAGTTCATTTGGTGAGTTTGACTAGTTACTGCCTCTCTGCCCAACATACCTCGCAGGATTGTTGTGGGAAAAATAGGAGGAGGAAGCATTGGGTATGCTACCTTGAACCCCTTTTTCAAAAGATGGGACGCAAATAAATACACCCCCCCCCCAAAAAAGCAGATAAATACACCCCATTGACATTGCATTCTTAAGTATCAATAAGCTTCCTGTGAAACCTTTTTACCAGGATCAAATTATTCACAAGAAACTTTGTTGATGTTAAAGCTAATTACTCTAGGGATCTCCAGTCTATCTCTTACTTGTTGCAGCATGATTGGGTAAAGAATGTATTTTGGTCTAAAATCATATACTTTTAAAGTAAAATTGTAAAGTACTGAGAATTCTTGGCAAATCTAGCACTATACCAATATAATAAATAACTGCCCAATAATAGATTGTACAAAATTTTTGTTCCTTAACAAACAACAGAGTAATTAGAAAGCATAATAAGACTACAAAGCAATCACTAGAGGAGGAAGGAGGAAGTTGGTGGGAAGAAGAGAAAAAGGACGAATAACCCTTTTATAACTGCTGGAAATCACATTTCCCCCCACCCCCACCCCTTAGAGTGTTCTTCTTCCTGCCTTTCTCAAGGAAGTGTCAAATCTAACACCTTTGCAATAAAGAAGTGGAAGTTTTTGAAAACCTTGTAACACCTAATCAAGGGATGTAAACTTTCTGTAAACCTAATTTGTGGATTAAAGAATCTCTAACATTTTTCAAATGCTTTTGTTTTGTCATTTTAATTATAAATTAGCCAATTGAAAAAGAAAAGCATGAAATGGTCTCCAACCCGAAAGGGAGAATAACTTTACATATTCTATTTTAATTCTAGTGCCCTAACTAGTAAACAATGCAATAGAATTTCATTTTATTTCTTTACTGTATTACCCATAACAATGCATCCTTTTAAAATATCCATTGACATTTTTGAAATCAAACCTCCCTTCAGTTTGAAGCACTACTAATTCTTTTTCCCCTGTGTGTTTGTGTGTATGTGTCCATTAAAATTTGTTACCCTGAACAGAGCAGGGAAACTGCAGCAACAATCTCTGCAACTCCCTTTCCATAAAGTAGGGAACAGGATCACTAGCACTGCAACTCTTAAACTAGTTGACTTACTGTAAACTGCAAATCATGTTCCTACTCTTAAAGCAAGCATTCACAATTGGATACAATATTTTATCTAAAATTGCTACTGCTTCTTCACTTCTAAGAAGCTTAAGCAACTTGAAGAATGGATCTTTGATAATTATCATCCTTTATTTCAGCATCTCTCTCACACTTGAGTCCCATTTGCTGGATAGCTCTATATCTTATTTCCACTTGGAGAGTTTTCCACTGATAGATTCTACCTTACATATATGACAGCATTTTATATGTATGTGCAACCTACGTGATTCAAGACTATTCCTATGGATGTCATCTTGAAGCTAGTCTATCTATGACAGAAGTGAAGGGGTGAGTTCCTGGAGTTTATTTTTTATTATTTTTATTATTTTATTTTTATTAAACATTTTAAGGGAAGATAGGAACTAATATGAATATAAAGTAAGGAAAAGGTTCTTGCACTTTTAACTTTCTTTGATCTTGTTTTCTTTTACCTTATAATATTTTGTGGTTCCTGAAATTAACTATTGGCTTATTTCGATGGCTTCTTCATTCATACAAAAATGCTTTTGCACATGAAATATGTGGGAGACCTTTTTCCCCATAAAGATAATTCAATAAGGAAGATTTGGCAGTTCTCACATAAAACCATAGTGCAAAACATGACAAAGGCATGATTTTACCATTATCTGCTGTATCCTCTGAAACAGAAGAACTGGTCAACTTACCTATTATAACAAGTTCTAAAGCTCCAGTGATGCTGACATAGTGTATATTTATTTATTTTGATTTGTCAATCGCTTACAAGATAATAAGTATGAGTATATACATAGTTATGAATACATGAAATGGGTACATATAAGAAAAATAAAACAATAGGACAGGGAGAGTAGGCACGTTGGTGCGCTTATGCCTTTTCATTGTACCTCCCTAACCACAAAGATTCATTGGTGAGGATGGCTACCTTTTAAATAGCTAAAATAATCTTCTATCCCAAATTCTGAGTTTTATTGTGGCCAAATTACCATGTATGTTTTCCCACCTCTGGCTGAAGCCTCCTGTGCTGCTACACTTCATTTCCAAGGGAGAAGGGACAAAAGTCCAGTTCAAAAGGAAAACAGACAGCAGGGTGAGAAGAAAAATCCTCTTGCAAGACTTTATTGAGGTCTGTTCATATTTGTTCCAAAGTTACTATCTCAACACAAATAAACACAAGCCCAACAAAATATTAGTGCTCACATCCTTTCAAAATGATAACTTTTCTGAACAACCTCTTTGTAAAAGCCTAATAACTTACCTTATCCATATTTTCATTGAATAAGTATCATATTGACATGCCCTTCATTTATCCGTTCAAATGTATTAGGAGTTTTATAAAGGATAATTTTGTAACATTTCAGTCTTAAATGTTTATAGATTTATAATCTTTAAGACAGAAAGTTCCTTTCATTGACATACATACAGATTTTTAAAATGGACACAGGACCTAGAACGCTGAAAGTTTCTTCTCCATGGGTGGAATAATTTTAAGAAGCTATTATCAACAGACTCATTCCTCAAGGATTATATAGTTTATTTGAAAACAGAAGTTCTAAATGTATGAGGTCATCCTAATGCTTTCAATGAATGCAGCTCACTATGTGCAGTGTAGTTCAGGAATGCACCTGAATTACTTCAAAAGTTTCCAAATTACCCTCTCCCATAATAGATAATGTAAAAATATGTGTTTACATATCACTAATACATTTTTCATTCCAGATGGAAAGATTACAAAACGCCTTTTATTACAATGTTCATTATTTATTAACATTTAGATTCGGAGAAGTATTCTATTCTGGTCCGCCTGCATGTATGTCAAAATATTTTCTGAACTCTTGAGAACATCTTTTCCCTCTCAAAATTGAAGAACAACATGGTGCTGTCAAAAAGATTCTAAATAAACTGCAGCTTGTTATGTTGACCATTTAGTGATTCCTCATCATGGCTAAAACAATATCATTTTTGGATAGAAAATGGGACTTTATACTTCCTCACTACAATATATTCTCATGGTTTGCAATAGAGGAAGAAACCAAGGGTATAAAACCATTTTTGTTCTTTATTTCAGAGCTTTTAAACTCAAACAGCTGCCTGGAGACAGACTATGTACAATGGAATTTAATTTACTGAATGTATGCTGGTTCCCTTGCTCCGAATACTCATACTGTACCATCATAGATCATCATTTTAGCCATTGTCCATCCACTGCAGGATGAAGGCCACTTCTGCATGTTTCAATACGGTCCTGAGCTGTTTTTTGCCAATTGGGCCTACAATGCTTGCTGATGTCGTCAATTCATATATGGTGTTATTTTCACTCTTGATATTATTGCTTGATTTACACAAGAAAACCTTCCTCTATCTACCCTAGAAGCAGAAAGGCCTTTCCAAGGAAGGTCATTCCTTCTTCTTGGAGAGGGCAAAGGGGAAGAGAGAATGGTGAGAAATTCGTACACTGGAAGAAAAACAACTCTTGGGCCAGGCTTTGAATTAAGACCATTTACATCAGATGGCCTAAAAGGCAGTTTACAAAGTACACACCTTCCAGTCAATGTTGTTTCCACTTTTTATTGTTCCACATAGTTAACAAAAAGAAGTATTACACAGACAGCCCACATTTTACATGTTTATCCCTCCTTTTTCCTAAATTGGGGCATTTTCATAGGTTAACAACTTCTGCAATCTGATGCCCCCAACCATCTTTGCTGGTTGTACTGGAAATGAAACAGAATATCAGGTTGAGAAGACTGCCATAGATATCTATGATATGAAGGTTTCCTGGAAAAATAACAGTAAGAATACTAACACTTTTTTTCAAAGACAAGTTTTATGAGGAAGGATGCAGTGGAAGATTTTTTTTAAAAAAAGTTGTGGTTGTCAGCTTTCTAACCAATTAAGTGTCATTAACTGATTTCCATTCAACCAGGTTTCATTTGTCCAAACTGTCAAGAGTTATAGCTTTAAATTGGTTTCTATGCAAATTTACTTAGGTTTAAGCAATACTCAACAGTTTTCCTTGCTTCTAAATGAGCATGCTTGCATTGCTTGAAAATTTGCTGGGTTATATTTTCAAAAACTGAATCTGGAAGACGCAGAACAAATCTGAGGAATTTAGTGTGCTGAAATCAAGATCAATCCAAGAACAAATGAAACATTCCAGCTTCTCTGGACTTGAACAGACAAGTTCAGTACAAGAATTAAGTGCTTAATTACCAATGTTTGCACTCAGGGATACATATTTATTAATCACTAACATGGAACTGAATATCTACAGCAATGTTGTGCCTTAAAATACAAGCAATCAATGAACTTTTATTTTAAAAAAGATTAAAATAAAAATTTGACAAGCGATGTACATATACATACATATATGTGTGTGTGTGTGTGTGTGTATATATATATATATACACACACACACACACATATACACATATATATCTCATAGTAAAATTCATGTTCATTTTGTGCTAGATGCGCACAAAACACATTTCTAGAAGGCACCCTGCCACCAATGTTTTAAATGTTTACCCCATTCAATCCTGATTTCCAGTTTCCTCTTCCTTCACTGAAGGAGAAATCCTAGAATACTAAACTCATCAAGAAACTAGCTGCATCAATATCCCTTTCAGGGATTTTCCTTGGCTTATTTTTTTTAAAAAAATCTATCATTAAAATATATGAAATTCTGCATTAATGCTTTACTTCATACCTTTAATTGAATTAAACCAACAGCTTCTCAAATCTACAAGGGCTTTTTCTTAACCCAAACTACAAGTATTGGAGGCACTTACTACATCCCCCACAAGAAAAAAGTAAGTTGCAAAAACAGTGCTGTGCATCAAAAGAGCTCTTTTGCATACACTTCCAAATCTTTTGACCCCACACCCTTAGCAATAATTAAGAAAAAAAAGTCATACAAATTTCAGTTCTCATACTCACAGATGAAATGTTAGTTTACTTAGCAATTCAATATTTGACAGTGAAAGAGTATCAGCTATACAGTCCTGCATATAATATAAATGCACTATCTGAAATCCTCACTGTCTATATTCCAATGGCTAGAAGAACACAGCGCTCAAGTATTCTCCCTATTAGGTAGATCTGTGTTGGTTCTTGTGAAGTTTATTACCATGGTCTCCACAAAGATTTGGAAAGGCTGGAAGAAGGCACATTTTGACTCCGAGACCTATCCAGTCCATCCAAAGAGATGTGGCTTTGTTCTGTCTCTGTGTTGTCCAGATCTGAGCAAATCTCTTCACTGGAGGAAGGTGAAGGAAGAGGGGAGGTGAGACTTGACAGGCTTAAAGTTCCATGTGAATCTCCAGGCATTTGAGAAGGCTCATCTCCACTTGGCTGCTGGCTGATGGAGGGATCTGATAAGACATCCACAATCAGGTCTTGAAAACTGCCTTCGTTCAGGGGCATTGACTCTAAAAGGTGATTCAAGAGCTCTGCTGCAATGGTAGAATCAATCCCAGGACAATTGGAGACAAATGTATGAACTTCATGCATGCATTGAATATACCCAGCTGCAAAGCGTTCACTGGCCTCTCGCTGCATTTTGTCGCCACCTGAGATGCAGGTAAATAAGGAAACAAATACAACCAAGTCACAAATCACCTCTTTTTAGATCTTTCATCAATAATGTATTTGAATCAATTCCTCTCATCTCACAATGTCAACTAGTTTAACTGTATTACACTTGCAGCCATGCCTGTGAAAAACCCTTTTACATTAACATTAAGATCTCGAATGGAAGGATAGTCAGAATTCATTTCAAAATTGATTGGAAAAGCCACATTATATCCAAGAGGGAAAGTCTAACTGAACAAGTTCCACTTTTGGAAGACAAGAGTTTTAAAGCATTTCAGTTTCTGTTCAGAAAAAAACTCTTTAAAATATTTCTATGACATTTTTAAAAATTTCACTCTTATGAAGCTGCAGAGCTGCAAGTATCCAGCTAATTAAGATTGGGAAAAATAATTGATCAGTTATAACATAAAAGATTCAGGAAAGGAAAAGAAACACTGAAATAATTAAGGGTAAGGAATGGAATAAAATGGTCAAGGAGGATCTGTTTTTTGTTCTAAAAGAATATGTTCAAAATAGCAATGTCAACAAGGGCCTAATCCAGTTAGAAGAAACTGTCCAATTGAAGGAACAAAAAGTATCTCAAAGCACTTTGAAAAACAGAAGGGTCTTTCCCAGGCAGTAATTACAATTAGTCCAATTAGGAATTCCATGAAAGCAGCAGCCTATATTCTTGCAGGAACGGGTCTTTTTAGAACTGTTACCCCTTCTTCGGAAAAACCAAGCAGGATCACCTCCTGTGGGAGTTCACTCGCCAATCTACCGGAGGGTCCCTTTTAATGTAGCCACCCAGGAGAATGAGGCGCAGGGATGACGGGGGCAGCCGACACTCACCTAGCGACCTGCTCTGCAGGATTCCCTGCACTCGCTTCACCGTCAGCTCCAGCACCTCGGCGTTCTCCATCTTCGTTTGGAACTAGAAGGAAGCAAAACGCGCAGCGGGACACAAGAATGGTCAGCCCCAGCCTTCCCCTCCCCTCCGCCGCCAACACTCCTCCCCTCCCCTGCGGAGATCCCCATCCCAGCCCCTAAATCTTCGCCCGCCAAGTCACCTCGGTTTCCGACAAGATCAGCCGTAGCTCTTGCAGGCTTTCGTTGATTCGCGCTCGCCGCTTCTTCTCCACCAGCGGCTTTCTTGCCTGGCCAAGGCGGGAGGAAGCAAAAGGAAAGGGCGTAACTAACAAACAACCCGCTGCACGCGCGTGGGAATGCATATGCCAGGCAGCTCGAGGCTGCAGAGCCGCATCCATCCCCGCCACCCGTCGGCATCTCTTCCCCTGGCTCCCAGGCGCCTCACCTTCCTATCTCCTCTGGCCTGGGAGAAATCCTCCTCGTCCCGGCTCGATCGGGTTTTTTTGGAGCGAAAGGAAGGAGCCATGGTGATCCAGGGCAAACGCAACGAAAGCGAAGGGCAACCAGGCAGGCCGGCGGGTGGAAGGGGGAGGAGAGGGAAGGAGAAGAGGCGGCTCCTATCGCAGCAAAAGCCGGGCGGGCCCCCCTCCTCCTCCAACCCCAAAATGTCTTCCTCCCTTCTTCCCGGGGCCGATTTCCAGCTCCGCAAACCCATTCGGCGCCCCCTCCCGGAGCCGGCGCCCCAGCCCTATTTATAGGGTCTAATTTGCATGTCAATGAGCCTATTGGACGCCGTGCGCAGAGTGGAAGCTCAAATGTGGATCCAAAGCACCAATAACAGGCGGGCGCTTTGTCTCTTCGGTGGCCGGAGAAGCCGCGAGGAGGGGAGAAAATCGGACCAATGGACGTGAGGTCCCGTCCTGTGTGCGTGCATCGGACCGGGGGGGGGGGGGGGTTCGGTTGTTCGGAGCGTTTTGTGTGGCTGGGTTTGGTTTGGTTTTACCCCTCGCTGCCGTTGGCGTGTTTTTTTGCGCAGCCTTTCAGTCCCGTCAGTTATAACGAAGGGTGGTCGGTCTTCCCAATAAATCTCTTTATTGGTTTGGTTAGAAAGTTATGATTCCAGAATCTGGCTAGGATAAAAACTGCATATTCGGGAGAGAGCGAGCTCAGAAATGCCTGTATTTATGCCCGCTCAGGCATTGAGATTGGTATAACAAAGAAACATCGACAGAAGGGGCTACACAGTGGAAGCTTCCGTCTTACATTCAGCCCCCACTGGGATTTCTTTTATATTAGATATTGTGCTGATTTACATCTCAACTTGGAAACTTCGATCAATTGAACTGAGAAAGATTTGTAGTTTTCCTTTAAGGTTTTTCCTTTTCTGCCAAACTAGACTGAGAAAAGTGACTGCCTGCTGTTAAAGAACATCTGGAGTGGAAGGATCTCTGGGCAGCAACAATACAAGCAATTTTAGGGAATGACACCAGTTGAAAAGTAGTTGCAGCTTTATACAGAAGTGGCAAAACGGGTGTCAAACTCAAGGCCCACGGGCCAGTTGCAGTGTGTGGGGTGCTTAGATCTGGCCCATGGGGCTGCCCTGGAAACAGCGTAGGATTGGCCTGCAGGGCCTTAGCCAGTGCAAACAGGCTTCCAAGCTCCATTTTTACTGGCAGAGGATTTCAGGAGGCTGGCACAGCCGAAAACGGAACTGGGAAGCCTGTTTTCACTGGCAGAGTGCTCGGGCCACCACAGGTGCCCCTGACTCAAATGATGTCAAGCTGGCCATGCCCCCCTGGGCCCCTGAGGTCAAGCACAACCCTGATGGGGCCCTCAATGAAATCGAGTTTCACAAGACAACACTTGTTCTTGGAACTAACACTAATATAGCAGGACTTACACGCCTGGCACATCACTAGCAATACTGCAGAGGCTCACTGTCCATACAACTGCTCACTGCTATACAGATGATCCTTGACTTACAATAGTTTGCTTAGTGACTATTTGAAGTTACAATGGCAGCAGTGGTGGTATTCCAGTTTGGCCCGTTTCTGGCATACTAGTAGTGCCAAAGATCAGCTGGCAGAGAACTGGTTCGCTCCGAGTCTCTCCGCCACTCTGCAGTTGGGCCCGCCCACCCGGGGGTCCCATACTGACCTTTATTTCCTGCTTTTGAAAAGCAGCTGCTTTGTGCGGCACAGCAGATTGCCACGCGTCGGCTGTTGAAGCTGCAGGGAGAGTGCAGGATTTCAGGAAGTGAGTAGGAAAGCCTCTGCGCATATGCAAAGTGCACATTTGGCAAAGTGTGTGCATGTGCACAAAAGGTGCCCACCAAGCCACACCCACCAAACCGGTGGCGAACCACTTTGAAACCTACGACTAAACAGCACTGAAAAAAGTGACGTATGACCATTGTTCACACTTCTGATTGTTGCACATGATTTACAGTTGAATGCTTAACAACTGACTCATATTTATAATGGATGCAGTGTGCTGATGTGTGATCATCTTTTGCAACCTTCTAGGGAGAAAGGTCAATGGAGAAATCAAATTCACTTAACCATGTTGCCAAATGTGGCAAAAAGGTCATAAAATATGGCAAAACTCAACAAATTTCTCACTTACATAAATTTTGGGCTCGGTTGTGGTCTTAGGTTCAAGACTGCCTCTATATGAAAGCAGTATTCTGAACATGATGATGATGTCACGAAAAATGGAGCACTTCACCCTTTGTTTGCATTATAGCACATACCTGAAAAAATAACCCCTAACTCACTGTGCACAGGCTGTCATTTATCTTCCATCAGCAGAGTATAGAGGCAAATTCTATAATGTTTGCATAATGCATAGGAACAGAAAACAATCAAAAACCTAACCAGGGCAACATGTTTCTATGAATTGTACTTTCTGCTAGTGTTTGCCAGAAATTAGTACAGAACATTGTACAGCTTTTTACATGGGAACTAATTCTCAGTCATAATAATTAGAGTTTGGTAGCACTTTTCCCAATTAACATACTTTATTAAAAGATACAAGCTTTCATCAAATGCACACACAGGTTGTAAAATTTAAATTGGGATGGCATGAAGGAGGTACGTAGAGAAGTTGAATCTATATGAAAATATCATCAAATCTATCATATATATAGGCAGATGGTATGCCTATATACAAATAGTTGCATTTGTTCCAATCCACTTGACAGAGGTGCTCAGTTGAGGGAATTAAACCAGACATTCAGGAGATTGAGTTAACAATCTACTGAAATTTATTGACAAATCAATAAGAGTGAAATCGGTTTCCATGAGACATCATTTTAAAGACCAGCAAACAGAACTATAAAACACCACTGATTGTTAATAATAACTTACAGCTCAAAACACTCAAATGCATTATTAATGTGCCAGAGATCATAACTGATAATGATGCCATTTTTTTTAGATGCTGGATGGCATGCTCATATTTACATACAGAGTACAATCCAACTTGTGGTAGATTCTCACAAGCAATGAAGAACAACAGGACAATTATATATCATAGGTATCAGACCCTGTAAGACAGGGGGCGCCAACCTTTTGGACTTCAGGGACCACTAAACTCATAATTTTAAATCCCAGGTGTTAGGAATGATAGTCACCTAACAGTTGGGCTGGCAATATATAAACCAGGATAGTTATTTAATACTGTTGTATCTTTAAGAGATTGCTGTAATTGTGATTGGCTGAGGTTCCTCCGTTGGCCATAAGATAGAGCCAGAAACCTGGTTTGTTCTCTTCTTGCATTTCCCTATTGCCTTTTGCCTGATCATTGTTCTGCTGGAATTGTTGTTAGTCTTCCAAACTGTTAGCAAACTCCGTTTACTGAACTTTGTTTATGATACTGGACTTAGTTTTTGGATTATCTTTGGATTGATTGTATTGAATACTACCTGCTTTTACTGTGTATGATTTGGACCGTTTGTTGGACTTTGTTTATCTGTTTACAGGAAGTAAAACCTACATTTTACTATTCAGTGTATCTGTATACTGGTTGTGTGTTATTCCTCACCACTCTCACTATGTTTCCTTGAGTGCACTCGTTCTCCTAATAGCGAAAACCTCAACTTCAGGGACCACTGACCGGTTCTGTGGGCGTGGCCTAATATGTGGGTGTGGCTTGGAGGTCATGTGACTGGCTGGGCATGGCTTGTATGTAAATATTATAAATATTTATGTAAATATTGAATTTTTTATTAAAAAAGAGCAACCTTTATCCAAAATCAGACAAAGCAGACAGGCAGATTGAGTTGCTCACAGAATCACAGATTTATTCAGATATCTATCTGTCCACCATCGGCTAGCTCAGTCTCTCAAATTTGCTTGCCATGAGTCTGCACTGAATAATAGAACCTTCAGTCCTAAGAGAGGTCCGGCTGTGCTTAAAAGCAGAGCTGAAGATCTAAAGACTAGCTAGAAAGCAAGAAATCCAACTATTTCCTGCTTCCTAGCTAATCTAAATATCACAGCTGATGGTTGGAAAAATAGCAATTTAGCAGACAAATTTGCCGGGTAATTAGTGAGTGGGTGGGGAGGGTTCCCGTGGGCCATGTGGGCGGCGCCGCCTTGTGTTTCTGTGCAGCCTGGATTAATTGCTTGGGGGGGGGTGCTCTGGGGGTGAGATTTCTCTATGGCCCACCAAAATTTTCTTGCGGCCCACCAGTGGGTCGTGGGCCACTGGTTTGCAACTGCTGCTGTAAGAAACCCACATGTCTATTTTGCCCCCACATTTACATCAACAATGCCACTGCAAGCCCAAACAAGTATAAACACAAAATTAGAGGGATCCTCACATACTCTTCCTTCAATATGATAAATGACATTAACTGCCAGCAACCCCCCTCTGGATTCTACATAGGACAAATGGCACATTTTCTGCAAAATAATTCTTGGGAGACAAATTTGGCATCAGGACTCAAAACAAGGACAATGTAGAAACAGCATTTTAGTCTTCTTGGACACTATAGCACAGTGGTTCCCAAACTTTTTTGGTCCACTGCCCCTTTGGTGCTACAAATTCATCCTCAGTGTCCCCCACTCGGGTGGGATTCAAATTTCTGTGGGTGTGGCCTAATTTGAGGGTGTGGTTTGCTGGTCACACGACTGGGTGGATGTGGCTTGCTGATCATGTGACTGGGTGGGCGTGACCAGGTGACTGGCAAACCAAATACAAGTGGTTCTCACTTAATGACCGGTTATTTAGCAAGTGTTCTAATTTATGACTCGCTTCCCCAGAGTTACTTGACCAGTTCTTGGAGTTTTGATAGTCTTGACCATGTTTCGTCCACAAAACCTTTAATAGAAGCCAAAGAGGTTTCAATGTGCTGGCAAAGATGTTTCAATGTGGAAAAGGGCCCCAATCTAAACTAGGCCTCATTCAATCTGATGCATCAGGTCTCTCTCTCTCTCTCTCTCTCTTTCTCTCCCTCCCTCCTTCCCTCCCTTCCTCTCAGACTGGTTTTGCTCTACTTTCCCGATGTGCCTGTGGGGCCGGTGCTTCGAGCATGGATGGATGGATGAGAGAGAGAGAGAGAGAGAGAGAGAGACAGGCAGGCAGGCAGGTAGGCAGGAAGGAAGGAAGGCAAACAGACAGACCTTTTGGATGGATGGATGGATGGATGGATGGATGGATGGATGGATGGACGGACAGACAGACAGAATGCGACAGCGGCGGCACTTTGGGAAAGCAGTG